TGTGAGATTTGTTCATTTATATAAGTGGAGTATTGAAGTTGTCTAATATTATTGTAGTACCTCTCTCACTTATGTCTGTTAATATTTATTTATTTATTTAGGTGCTCCTATATGCAATGCATAGATGTTGACATCTATATCCTCTTGTTGGATTGATCCTTTTTTTTCATTATGTATCGTAATGCCCTTCTTTGTCTCTGTTGTTCCAGTCTTTTTTTTTTTTAAATGTCTGTTTTGTCTGATATATGTATAGGTACCCCATATTTCTTTTCATTTCAATTTTCATGAAATGTGTTTTTCCAGTCTTTTTTTCTATCCGGGTGTGTTTTTCCATCTGAAGTGAGTCTATTGTTGGCAGCATATATTTTCTTCTTTTTAATCCAGCCACCATATATCTATTGATTGGAATATTTAGTTCATTTATATTTAAAGTGTTCATTGATAGGCATGTAGTTATTGCAATTTTATTAATTGTTTTGTAGTTCTTTTCTGTTTTTTTAGTTTTCTCTCTTCTCTTGTAGACTGATGACTTTAATAATTTGAGTTCCTTTTCCTTTATTTTTTGTGTATCTATTATAGGTTTTTGGTTTGTGGTTACCATGAGATCTATATATAACAAGCTATATTTATGGCATTCTATTTTAAGTTGATGGTCACTTGAGATCAAAAACATTCTAAAAGTATACATTTTTACCCCCTCCTCCACTTTTATGTAGTTTGGCATTATATTTTACATTGTGTGTGTGTGTGTGTGTGTGTGTGTGTGTGTGTATGCTTTAATGTATTATTGTAATTACACATGATCTTATTACTTTTCTCTTTTAACATTAATAGTGGCTTCATACTTGGTTAATCTACTACATTTACTAAATGTTTGCCTTTATCAGTGAGATTTTTTTCTTACATATTTTTATTTTTAGTCCTTTTTTCCACTTAAAGGAGCCCCCTTAACATTTCATAGAGTGTCAGTTTAGTGGTGATGGACCCCTTTTGCTTTTGCTTGTCTCAGGAACTATTTTCCTTCAATTCTGTGAAGAATATTCTTGGTTTTAGTTTTTTTCTTTCATTGCCTTGAATATATTGTGCCATTCTTTCTGTTCTGAAAAGTTTCTGCTGAAAAATTAGCTGATAGTCCTTATGGGTATCCTTTTTGTTTAACAAACTGATTTTCTCTTGCTGCTTTTAGGATTCTCTCTTTATTCTTAACTATTGGGATTTAAAAAATTTTTTATTGATTGATTTATTATTTTTTTAGAGAGAGAGGGGAAGGGTGAGGAAGACATCAATTTGTTGTTCCACTTACATATGCATTCATTGGTTGCTTCTCCTATGTGTGTCCTGACCAGAGATTGAACCTGCAACCTCGGAGTATCAGAACAGTGCTCCAACCAAAGCAGCTACCCAGCCAGGGAAACCTTTGGTATTTTAATTATGATGTGTATTGATGTGAGGCTTTCTGGGTTTAACAACTATGGGACTCTGAGTGCTTCCTGGACTTGAATGTCTGTTTCCTTCACCAGGTTAGAGAAAGTTTCAAACATTTTCCTTTAAATGGGTTTTTTTGTCCTTTTTTCTTCTCTCTTCTCTTTCTGGGACTACTAGGATGAAAATGTTGGTATGCTTGAAGTTATCTCATAGGTTCATTAAACTTACTGTCATGTGTGCTGTGGTTTTGTGGATGTTCGTGTGCGTTGGAGCTGTATGATCCTTGCTATATCTCTACTCGCTGATCGCTAATCGTAATCTTCTTTATGCATCCTTCCTTCCGTCTCTTCTTCCTTCCTTCCTTCCTTCCTTCCTTCCTTTCTTCCTTTCTTCCTTTCTTTCTTCCTTTCTTCCTCTCTCCCTCTCTCTCTCTCTCTCTCTCTCTCTCTCTCTCCTTCCTTTCTTCCTTCCTTCCTTCCTTCCTTCCTTCCTTCCTTCCTTCCTTCCTTCCTTCCTTCCTTCCTTCCTTCCTTTCTTTCCTTTCTTTTCTTTCTTTCTCACTCAAGGATATTTTTCCATTGATTTTTAGGGAGAGTGGAAGAGAGAGGGAAAGGCAGAGAGGAACATCGATGCGGAGAAACACATCAATTGGTTGCTTCCTGCAGGAGCCCTAGCCAGGACCTGGGTAGGCTACGAGCCTGCAACCAAGGTATGTGTCCTTGACTGGAATCGAATCCAAGACCTTTGGTCCCAGGTTGATGCTCTATCCACTGAGCAAAATAGCCCCCTCCTCCTCTTCCTTTTTTTTTTTTTTTTTTTTTCTTCTTCTTCATCTTCTTTTCCTTTTGTTGTTCCCGTTCTGTGATTTCCACTACCTATTTTTCAGGTTGTTGATTTCTGGGGTGTTTTTATTTATATATATATATATATATATATATATATATATATATATATATATATATATATATATATTTTCTGTCCCTTTCTTAACATTCTTGCTAAATTCACCTGCTCTTCTCCTGAGTTTGTTGAGCAGCTTTGTCACCAGTGTTTGAATTTGTTACCTGGTAGATTACATTTAGGTTTGTAATCTTATCTCTTTCATTTAGGTTTGTTTTTTTTTTTTTTTTTTTTTTTTTTTTTTTTAAATTTTGTTCTGTTCTTTTGTTAGGAACATATTCCTATGTTTTCAAACTTCAGTTGTTTCTCTGACTTTTAATCCATGAAGTCAGTGAAAATAGAAGCCTCTCTTGGACTTGAAGGATGGCCTTGAATAGGAGATTCCCCTTTCTAGAGTGATGGTGCCAGGTGTCTGGCCGTCTGGCTGGATCTGTGGGCATTGGCCACGGTAATTTTTGGGACAAGCTGTGCTAGGGCCTAAAACTGTAGCTAGAACAGGTGGCCCCCAAGGGTTTCCAGGGATGAGCCACACCAGAGCCTGTCTTGGCAGGTGAGGTGAAATGGTAGTTGAGGCAGGCTGTGGAGAGTCTTGGGGATCAGGGGCACTAGCCAGGAACTGAAGCTGAAGCTAGCATGGCCTAGGGGAGGAGACAGGAGCTATGGCTGGAGCGTCAGGGCAAGTGGTGTAGCCAGTGTGGGCCTGGGACCTGGAGCCTAGAGCCTGGGGTGCTCTAGGGTGGCGTTGGCCGGCTGGCTAGAGCTCCTGATTGACCTCCTGCCTCTGCACTCAAGGTGGTGGGGGAACACAACGGATGTGCTCTCTGGAGTCTCCAACCCCAGAGAGAGTTCCCGCCCCCCCACTGCAAATTGGCAGATGCTCTAGAGTTAAGCAGTTGATTGATTTCTTTCCCATTTAGTCTAGGTGCCTTTTACATGACAGCTTTTATGCCAATGTGTCTGCAGGAGGCTCCTCAGTGCTCCACCCCTATTGCAGGTTGACTTGTGGGTGGTGGTTCCCACAGCTCTCCCGCCTATTTCTCTGTGATCTCTGTCATTTCTCGTGCAGACACTGTTCAGCCAGCCCCCAGGTCTTCTTCAGGTGGAATTGCTCTGCCTGCAGGTGTCCATTCAATGTATTAGTGGGAGGAGGTGAGTTCAGCATCTTCCTGGGCCACTGTTTGGACCCCTCATATTCTCTTTACACAGCTATCGAATGCATCAAAAACAGGCAGGAAGGAAGAAAAATAAAATCTGTGCTTCAGCCTCACCAAGTATTGCTTTGTAGAAGGGCTTCTAGTCATATGTATGACATTCTCTGAACTTAGGTGAGAAACTAAACAGCTTTGTGGTTGTGTTTCAATTTTTGTATATTTGTGAAGTTAAAGAATAATGCTCGTCATTCTCCAATTAAGCAGGTGTGGTTCTTAGACTTTAATAGGGCTACCTTTATATTCGTTGCTTTTTAAACTGTTTTTTAGTTTTGCTTTGAGTTACATTACATGGTCATCAAGTTTCCTCTTTTTATCAGGGCAAAATGGAGAGTTTGATGATCTTAAAAGCCTGTAATTTACCTTGGATGTGAACTATAAGGCTTATTCTGAATAAATTCCATGTAAAGCTGCAGAAATTATGTAGAAAGTCTTTATGAATTGGAACTTAACATGTCACTGACACATTCTGAAGTGTGTGCCTTTGCCTTTAGTGATGGATGGTCCCATTCTGCCAAGTTTAGCTGAAAGGGGTGGCTTAGAAACCCAAACAGCAGATCTGGAATCTAGAAACTTTCTGGAACTTCCATAGTTTTAAATCAGGGTGGCTGTAGCCTGCATCTGTGCAAGGGATGGCATGCCACCAGCTTCTCCACAGAAGTCCCTGGGCCAGAGCTATACACACCAGCCCCGTTTCTCATGTATGGGTGTTTAAAAGCCCCCCGTGGTTTGGAAGGATAAGGCCTTGCTTTGGGACTCCTTGGTTCAATTTTGGTGGAACCTGGCTTAAAACCCTGGCTATTTGATAGTCTGGCTTATTTATATGGCGTATTAGCACCCTATAAAAGTTACATGTCATTTATTTCAAGTTTAGAGCCCTCTCAGACTTCAGGGGCAAACCAAACTTGAACCTTTTGTGGCTAAAATTCTGTTTACCTTCGGCCAAATCTTCCTTCTTGACTGTGAGCCTGGGAGGTAAGGTGAGGCCCGTTGGACATCAAGCCAGTTTTGCCAAACAAGGCTCTGATAGGTTCAAACATGAATACCCCTGAAACACGGAGATTAACTTGCTGCCAGAATGCTCCGGGGCCTACACACAGAAGTATATTGTGCCGGGCACAGTGCACTCTGAACGTTGCCTTCCTCCCGCTGAGAGGCAATATCTTAGATTTTTGCCAGACACCGTTGAAATTGGGTCAAGTCACTCACCTTCCACTTCTAATACATACATCAATAGGTTTCTGTGAAGGTTATTTGACAATTCAGTTGAATGAGGATCTTGGAGAAATTTGGAATTTTACAGTATTTGAAACATTTGTTTTTAACCAGGAACAAAGTAAACAAGATACTGTGTCCCTTGCAAGGATGGCTCTGATTGCTTTGTGCCTGTTTCCGAACACAGGCTGGCAAGCAAGGCCTTGTGTTTGAATGAAGGAGCAGTAACAGCCCGTCGCATGTGCCTTTCAGATAGAGGAGCTGATGAATGCCCTGGAGAAGACCAGGCAGGAGCTGGACGCCACCAAGGCACGCCTGGCCTCCACACAGCAGTCCCTGGCTGAGAAGGAAGCACACTTGGCCAACCTCCGAATAGAGAGGAGGAAACAGCTGGAGGAGATCCTGGAGATGAAGTGAGTACTCATTTCTGTTTCCTGGTCTCTCTTTCCTGATCTCTCTTTAGGGATGGGGAAGGGAAGGCTGGAGGAGATGAAGAAAGAGCTTGGAGAAAGAATCATTTAGCTAACACCTGACTAGTCATTTCCGGGACTACACTTCTTACTTTTTAAAAAAAATTATAGCTTCCCATGATTCATTTTGCACATTTTTCACATCTGTGATTCAGAAGAAAGCATCGAGCATTCGATTTTGTATTTCTGCTTCATGGATGGCATTCTTAGGTCTGTTACAAAGGTCTGAACTGGCCCCGAGACCGAGGCTCATTAAGCACAATAGTAATTTGAGCAGGGCACCGACTTAAGTGGAAACTTCTCTGAGGAGGTATTTCCTAATTGTGACTGTAACTTTGCTAATTATATTCTTTTCACTTGTGTACAATGCCTGGCTTGTGTTGGCTTTCATAGAGTCTCAAGGTTGGCACCTCTTTGTTTAGAAAGCAGGACTCTGATTTGCTGAGCTGATAAAAACAGGCTTGGAAATCCTACCGCACCCCTACCCCTTCTGGGGAAGGTTAGGTAAGGGAGGGAGACTGGATCCAATCTCTTTTCTTTGATTTAATCGATAAAGTACGGCTGCATGCTGGGCAGTGGTCATTCCTGTGGGCCTATGGCACATCCACATCCACCTAGATCTCATTTTGCCCTCACAATGAAATAATATCATTATGGAAGAACATAGCTGAGAAAATTACTCAAAGATATTAGAAATAATCAATTGCTATGGATCTGTTTCTAAAGAAGCAACGTGTCTCTATATAAGTTTTAAAATAAAATAATCACCAAGAAATAATTTCTGTCCACCTTCCTTCCACGATCAGGGGAAATGTACACAGCGATGACATCTTAAGCCTGTAACATAGACTTTGAAATTGGTGGCTAGGTATGGAAGAATGACCTTCTCCTGACCCCACACGCCTTACACATGGTTAACATTAGACCTGAGAGTTTAGATCATGGAAAATGTGGAGTGAAACATTTTGAAAGATTTAATAATGAGGACAAAACTTTTATTTCTCATCAACTACCTCAGTTTCTCTAAGACCAAAGAATAAGTAGTTTTTTCTCACATATAAACTCAAACTTTTCCTAATAAAAGATGATATAATGAAAACAGATATTTTTATCCTCTGTTTAGAGGTTGGGGAACTGAGACTCAGAAAGCTTTCAAGTAATTTGCTTAAGCCCATCTGGCCAGGATTAAAGCCAAAACCTTCTACCTCAAGCTTTCTTTCTATAACCTCGTTTTCTCAAGAAGTCATGTGAGCACCACCCAGCCCAGAACTTTGGTTGTTGGAGTCAGTGTGGCGATCATCCTGCCTAGAACTGTGCCTGGCATGTGGTAGGTGCTCAGTACTTGTTTGTTGAATAAGCGAGTAGATTTAATGTGGAGACTGGATTTTTTGTAACTAAGAAGCATAGTATTTCAAGCACTTTTGACATTATTGCCTAGATCAATAATCTCTTCACTACGGGCACATTGATTTCATCAGCCTTTATTCTTTTCCATTCATCTGTTCACTTCTGCCTCCTGGTGTCCTATTATGGGTCATATGCAGCCTAGTTTCTCTCATTGCTTCCAAATTAACTCTCTATCTCCTGGAGTGATTTATTATGCCATTTTATGGAAATTTTCATTCCTTCCTTTTCATAGAAAGAACATATTCTTTCAACATTTTGAGAGAACAAATAATGGTGAAGCATGCTGGTTTGGGAGTCAACAGACCTCCTATTGCTTCTACCTGGTACCTGGTGGCTGGTGACTTAAGGGAAGTGACCTGGCCGGCACTTACCCTTTAGTTCCCTCCTCTAACCCCTTTCCTGGGGTGGTTCTGAGCAGAGGTCCTCAGAGGAGGGCTTGGCACATGGAGCAGAATATATGAGTTTAAGTGGTGCTACCAGCCAATGAAAATATATCATTCATTTAGTATACTTTGTGAAGAGTATCATTTATCTAAAATTTGGATTTATTTTTCTAAAACATATAAACCTTTTCCATGTGTATGTTTTCCCACTTAATTTCATGATTTCAGATAGCACCTAACTAAGACCTCTTTTGGTGAATTGCCACATTATTTCTGAAGTGCTTAATCTGCTACCACTACAAAATAAATATAAAATCCCTCTGTTAATTCCTTTGGTAAAAGTAACAAAGCCCTGCTTCACTAAGCCCAATATGAACCCCATTGACTATTTAACCGGCCCAGAACCCCACTTATGGCTCCGTTCTAGGACTGTTGGGGGACAAAGGTACAGGGCAATTGTATTGACTGAAAACAGCAATTAGAATCATTAGCCTCCTGGGCTGTTTAAGTCCTCCAACTGGTTTGGTTGTTCTTGATTGTTATGCTGAGTTGCCATATTGGTTACTCGACATTAACCCAAGTCAACCTAAGTATGTGGGAACAGTCAGATGTATATATCATTGGCAGAATTGCTTTCACTCAGTGCCAGGCATTGTTGATTTTCTTTCAACTGGCAGGCAACATGCAGTAACTTTCAGCCAAGTCCAACCAGTTTCCAATCCCTGGTGGGAAGGGAGAGGCTGTGTGGTGTTTGAGGAAAGAGCTGGAGCCCAAAGCCAAGAGTAAGGAGATATGATCTCATCGTTCACCCCTAACAGGAGATTACTGTCTGGTTGCTTTTGTTTTCTCTTCAGTAACATGGAGGCGATAATAGTGTCTACTCTATAGAATTATTGTAGGGTTTTTTTTTGTTTTGTTTGTTTGTTTGTCTAAGTACTAAACTGAAATTAATATAAACCAGCATATGTGAAAATGCTTTGAAATATAAAAAGGGGCTTTTGGAATGAAAGGTGGTGTCTGTTAAATCCATTGCAAAATCAAATGGCACAGAGTTTTAGAATTGGAAAGCAGCGGGTCCAGCATCCCTGGATGCATAAGCCAGACTCCCATCCATTTAATACGGATAGGAATCTCCCAGGTCCTGGGAAGCAGCATTCACAGTGGAAGTCATGGGACCATAATGTGATGGTCATGCCCATGACTCCTGCAGGTAGCTCATTCCTCCTCATGTGGAACTAGAATGGCTTCCCATGTAATCTTTCTGCTTGTCTTGGTTTTGGTTCCAGAGCTCCACAGACTTTATCTGAACCCCACTCAGAGGACAGAAAGTGGTTTAGATATTTGTTTGAGTAATAGTGTTTACCTTAGAAAAGAAAAAGGAATGTGAAAAAGCAAAATTAAGATAGACACTGGTGACAGCTTGGTATATACCTTTATAAATACTCTTTACTTTTTAACAAAAGTAGATCTGTATTTTTATAGTTTGTAAATCCTGCTTCTTTTCTTTACTGAATGGGGAATACCCTCCCTGTCACAAACATAGAATTATACTTGTAATTACTCAATGTACCGTCATATAGGTTCGCTTTTTTATTGGACATTTATCTTGGTGCCAATGTTTTGGTAATATAAAGAATGTTTTGATAAGCATCCTGCTCTTTAGTTTCATTTCTTTAAAAATAATTATAGCTTGATATGCAGTACAAGATGCAGTGGAAAGAGGTCTCTTGTACATTTCCAACATTTCCTTCAATGGTAACCTTTTGCATAGTTATAGCACAATATCACAGCAGGAAATTGATATTGGTTCAGTCATCAACTTCAATTCAGATTTGTTCAGTTTTACATGCACTCATTTATGTGTGAGTGGGTGTGAAATTGAGACATATCAATTTCAACTCATGTATAGATGTATGTAACCACCATCACCGTTAAGACACAATACTGTTTCATCAGCATAAAGATCCCTCATGCCACCTTTTGATCGCTATACCCACAACCAACTGTTTCCTTTTATTTTTATTTTTTGTTAATCCTCACCAAAGGCTATTTCCCCGACATCGATTTTAAGAGAGAGGGAGAGAGACATCAAAGTGAGAGAGACATCGATGTGAGAGAGACACATCTATTAGTTGCCTCTCCAAACACCCGGTCAGAGCTCAGGGAATCAAATCTGCAACCCAGGTATGTGTCCTTGACTGGGATCGAACCTGTGACTCTTCAGTGTGTAGGCCAAAGCTCTAATCACTGAGCAAACTGGCCAGGGTCAGAGTTTTGTTTTGTATTATATCATTTTGGGACAAGTGCCAGATAGTGTACATTTTCCATACCATTCTTCTTTGGAAGGGCAGGGAATTATCCTTTTAGTTTAAATTTAGACTGAATTCAAAGTTAGAAAATATACTTTATTCCTCTAATTTAAAGATTTCTCATGAGTTAGATTTATTTTATTTAAAGTGGAATTTCCTTTTAATATTGGATTTCTAGAACTTGTTATGTGGTAAGGATTGAATAAGTGTTTGAGGAATAAAAGGACAAATTAGTTCAAAAAATCATAATATTCACTGAGTTCCTATCATGTGATAGGTACTGTTCTAAGTGAACAGTGACAAATCCATGACCTTATTCAGTTTGCATTTTGGTAAAATGACTGAAAGAAATGAACAGACAAATAACTGAAAGAAATTAATAGATAGATGAATAAAGTAGATTCCTTTATAACCAAAGTTTGGAATCCCACTTAGTAAGCTATTTCCCATAGTAAGGATCCTGATGGTCATTTGGGGTAGAGAGGGACATGAAAAATGCACTGTACCCTCCTACAGCCTGAGAACCCTTTTGGAAATTGACCTCAAGGAGGGCCTTTGCCTCAGTTTCAACTAGGGTTCTTCCCCCAGTACCTCTTTCTTCAGTTTGGTCTTTAGTGGTTGGCATTCTTACTGCTGGTCATTATTCTCACACTAGAAGGTACTAACGGTTTCCAGCCATAGAAGAGCATAATATTGGCTTTCCCTTGTGTGTAAGATTATTCCTTTACTTCAACATATCTAAAACCTCTTCCTAAAACATTTCATAGTGGTTCAATTTTGTTACATTTGCTCCTATTTAAAAGGGATTTCATTAAAATAATATTAAGAACATCATTCTATATGT